TAGTTCTCATCCACTTTAATAGGATGGTCCCTCTTTTTTCTTGAAATTCATTTTTCAAATTATTTCGTTCTGTTTTCCAAATATATAGTTGAGGTTTGGTGTCCTTCCTAATTATATATCAGCATTTAAAAGGTTCCATGATTCATTCTCATCATTTTTTTTGAATTCAAAGTTTCAAATTTTTAACTAGTTGATCATAGATTTCGGAACAAATTACATGTTTGCAAATTTTATTTTTGGAGATTTAAAAAAGGCATGTTTTACGGTACCTCCGCTTTATTTCTTTAGATCTACTTGAACTCAGGTGCAGGTTTCAGCCGGCCTAATTTGGGTTTAAGTAGTTCAGGCTTAAGCTTAGGCTTTGTGTAAATGATTATGATAATTTTCTTACATATAGGACCATTCTGAAGATTTGAAACTTATTTTAAGCTGTATCGGTTTGTCCCGATGTCCCTTGAAGTCATAAATCATTCAGCCTATAATTATGGAGCTTGTAAATATTGGTTTAGATTTTTGATCTACTCGATTAACCAGGAACTTTTCAAAGTTTATCGTAGTTGTAGCTACACAGTTCAGATTTATGATCAAAAAAATCTAGACGCTCTTGTTGTTTTTTTCGCTAATCCCTATTTTAAAATGATGGGGTACCGTAATCGTGTATTTAGAGACAGAGAAAGTGCGTCATATGATTTTTTCATTCATGAAAAACAGGAACTTTTCGGACAACACAACAACTCATAAATCTGCATATCCAGATGTCCTAAATTCATTTACCGTAAAACCTGTATTAGAAGAGCCGGCCCTGCTATTGTTCCAAAGTACCTCCGGAGGGCCTTCTATTACAGGGGCCCTTCAATTAGAGGGGCCCTTCTATTACAGGGGCCTTTCTAATACAGGTTTATTTTCAGATTCCGCTATCATCAAGTTTTTTAGATCATTCTCGAATGTTTTTCTCTGATCCTCTTGTTTTTCTGTGATCTGTAGTTTATCAGCTTGCTAACTCATATCACTTTATCAGTAGACAAAAAACGATTCTGATGAAAAAGGTGATAAAAACAGAAACGATTAATAATGCATCAGACGAGAGGAGGAAGCATACAATTAGTGCGAAAAACGCTCAGATAACTTTTTTCTTCCTCCTTGTTTTTTAGTATTTTTTTTTCTTTTCAATCGATAAAGATGGAGATGAAATGTTCTAATTAGCTAATTATTTCATAATTGCTTACTAGCAACTAGTTAGTGAAATTCCAGAACAAATCCAATAAAGTTCCCTCCCTACATTTATTTTCATTTTTCCTGTTCCTAGCTCTTCTGGGAGCCGAGATTTTTGCATTTGAAGTTTTGGAGAGACGCAGACAGTTAGAGAGTCTCGTTGTCTGCGTCTCAAGTGTCCTAAACTTCAAACGACTGTGCCTCGACTCCTAAATAATCTAGAAAGCTGAAATTTGGACAGAAATGTGTGAAATTTTTTTGAGAAAGTACATCTTCTTACTTGAACTCATTTTGCAATTTTATCTTTGTTCTCTCGCCTCTCTAATGCCTATTCATACTTCTTCACCATTCTTCAGAACCTCATCATGTCCTTGAATCCCAACACAACCTCCCCAACTCCCCCACAATGTGCATCGGAGCTCCAGATGTTCCAGAGAAACTCCAACGTCTTTCGTACAAATGTCTTGTTCAATTTTGTCGTCGAATCACTTACCCTGTGGGCTAGTGTTGCGGTAAGCCAACTCCAACTCCAACAACCTCAAAAACATATATTTTCAGTTTTGTCTGGTGCTTTATAAACGCTCATTTTTCTCCAAATCATGCACATTTCTGATCTACGTCAACCTCATTGTGGTCAACTTGCACCAATGGAACTATGCGTTTATTCAGGTAAGCGCCACTTGCAATTTTGAGCTCAATTATCTCGATTGCCATAAAAGATGGAAAACATTTGTAAACTGATAAAACGTTGAAGATTTTAAGACTAACATTTTAATAGAGATAATTAAGCTAAAATCCGAAATGTCAAGATACCTTGGGCGCCATCCTGAACTGATAAAGTGATATGAGTTAGCAAGCTGATAAACTACAGATCACAGAAAAACAAGAGGATCAGAGAAAAACATTCGAGAATGATCTAAAAACCTTTGAATTCAATTATCTCGGCTTTTTTATATCTGTTACCGGAACCAAGTTATAAAAGAATTTCCAGGGCTGGTCTCTCCAACGTGCACTGGTCCACTCCGATCAACCATGCTCCATCATGTTCACAGAATATGAGTGCTTCCAGTGGTACACCAACAGCATCTTCTCCAGACTTCTCTTGCTTTTCATGAGCTGTGCATTGACACTTGATAAGTAAGTTTTGGTCTGGCCTTTTTGTCCACATGGTCTACAAAGTCGGCTAACCTAGATTTTTTATATTTTGGGCTAGATTTTTTAAATCTAGGCCAAAATAAAGAAAATCTAGGTTATGGTCAGTTTCCGTGAAATTTCCAGGAACTCATTCCTCGGAATATAAAAAAAATTTCTATGAATTTTTCCCCATTTTTTTTTCCTCGCGGTCCAGAAAAATTTAGGTCACGACCTGGAAAAATCTAGGTCATGACCTGGAAAAATCTAGATCACGACCTAAAAAATCTAGATCACGACCTAAAAAAATCTAGGTCATGACTTAAAAAATCTAGGTCGTGACCTAAAAAAATCTAGGTCATTAAATTTTTCACTGCATTTTTATAAGGCCATTCCGTTTTTTTCTGTATTTTGGGAATTAGGAAAAACTTAGGACCGTTGTCGTACCCTTGGGAACGTTGGGACCGTTCTCGGGACATTGGGACCGTTGTCGAAACAATGGGACCGTTGTCGCAAGTCGTTGGGACCGACGGTCCTGTTTTCGGACCGTTCTTTTCGGAAAGAGCCGAGAAATCTAGGTCATGACCTAAAAAAATCTACGTTGCGGTTGGATTTGAAGTTTTGTGAAGAGACGCAGAGAAACGATAGTGCTCTCGTTGTCTGTGTCTCTAGCAGGCCAGCTTTAAAGACGCATAGCTTGCTTTAACCTTGACCAAAATTGATGAAAATTACACCGTTTTTAAGGATTATTCAAGCGCTTTCGAACGGTATAAAAATCTTTGAACGTCTTTTTTTTTCAGCTTCGTCACCCTCCTGATTCCACGTCTAACCGCCTCCTGTGGTTCTGGAATCACGTTGTCTTTCGCTGCCGTTCTCGCTGCGTTTGCTCAATGCTTATACATGACTCGCGATGGACCGAACAGCAATATTCAGTCCAATTGCTTCCAGCGACTCAATCGAGATGTCGGGGAGTTGAAGATGCAGATTTATATGTATCTGATAGTGGTGGCGGTTTGTGTAGTGTTGAATGCAATCCTTCTGGTCACGAAGTACATGATGTCGAAGATTACGAAGTGAGTTTTGAGATCATCAAGAGAACTCCTGATCCTTCAACTTTTAATATTCCAGAACCAACTACGATGTAAACGACAAAATCGAGAAGAAGGAGGCAGTGAACACAGCCGGAGCGATTTCCATCGTTGTGATGTGCCAGATGATCTTCTCGACTCTTTATACTGTCTCCGTGGTTTATCTAATTAATAATGGAAAAGATTTTGATCCGCGTTACCTGAGCAACTTTGTGCTCTGGTGTTATGTAAGTCTACTTTGAGCCAATTTATCTCGGTTCCTGTTAGAGATATCAAGAAGCGGCCAACTGATACAATGTTACTTGTAACATGATAAACATTTTGCTAGTTGATTGTTTTTTTATATCTGTAACAAGTACCGAGATAAATTAGGTAAAAGTTTAGGGTTCTCATGTTAAAGAAAAAGGGACTCTGACTTAACAACTTAGTTAAGAATGTCAGTTAATGAGGATTTTTGCTATTAAGGATTTTAGTTAGTAAGAATGTTAGTTATTAAAGATGCTAGTTATTAAGGATGTTAACTATCAAGGATGTCAGCAACTAAGAATTTGATTTATCAAATATGTTAGCTAATGGCATTTTAGTTATTGAAGATGTCAGCTATTAAAGGTGGTGTACGGTGAATTTTTTATTGCATCAAAATGTGCAGAAATGCATGTAGATTGACATAAAAATAAAGAAAAAATTCAAAAAAATTCCTTCATCGAGAAAAACGCATCGAAAAATACGCTGAAAACCCTTAGGGACGAGGTGTTTTCTAGGCCGCCCGGTGAGTAAAAGCGCG